TTTTTTTTATCACATATATTAGACTTTTTAGGTTCCAATGATTCGCCAGCTTTCGGCGCTTAAACCGCAGCTTACTCCTTTTCGTATTATTAAATACTTTCGAATTGAAGTTTACGGACTTACAATGCTAAAATCCGGAGTTCGAGTTCCTGCGGTGGACAGTAGTGCAAACTACACGATGGGCTATCTACTTTTAGTTAAATAAATAACTAACTTTGGATTTGTTTGCTTGTTTATAGTTAAGCACAAAGCTACACAGTGGACTATCTGTGCTGTGCTCACCACGGGTTTCATCGAAAACCCGGTTTATAGCGTTGGAAGTCCGCAGACATACCGCTGTGCCACTGAGGGACAAATAACTTTAGAAATAAAGACAGACGGTGCTTCTTATGCTAGATAGCCCTAAAATAAAACAAAAAAGTTTGATTGGTTTAGAGCAAAGCCACATTGGGGTATTTGCGGTGTCCACCACGAGGAATCGAACCCTGGATTTTAGCGTTGCATGTCCGTACACAAAACGAAAAAAAAAGAATACAGCATAATAAGAAAAAAATCATTCATGGCGCAAGAAATAATAAAATGCTGTACATATTTTTATAAATTAGTTTTATGTGTTGTTGTTTTTTTATGGGACTTTGTGTTTATTTTCACAATATCAGTATCAAAATATTGTCACGTATTCCGCGTGATTTCACGGCGATTCTTTTCTGTATCTATGGTCACAGATGTCCAACTTCTAAAACTTTCTAGATCAGTTACTGTCGTTAACGCTTCATTGATCGAACTAAATTTCGTAATTTTGTGCGTTGATTTATCTGCGCATTGATTTAATTATTGAGTGACTGACTGATCTCGTGAAAGAGTATTCTAACTGATGCAAATTTGTCTTAAAAATCAGATTAAGTAAAGCAGTGGATTGCAGTAAAGAGAAAATGAATTGAAGAAAATTCTAAAGAACTGATGAAACAACAATATCCAAACTACGCTTACTAAACAAGTTTAATCTAATATGAAATTAGTGCGTCTTTGATAACGCGATTGTTCTCCATAGGATTATTTTTTTTTTTTTTTTTTTATGAGATACAATAGTTTCACGCTATGTGATTTAAAATTCGTAAAAAAAAATACAACAATGCAAGATCAAGGGATATCCGTTTATTTGTAAGTTTCTTTTCCTTACGAAAACGTGAGTTTCAGTGAAGAAAAGATGACGTACAGGTTTAATCTATTCTTTGATTCGCTACTTCCTCTACATCAAACTAGTTTCACTGTATTCACGACTCGTAAGCGCTACTTGAAAAAAGCAAGGAAAATAAAGTAGGCCTGATATTAGTGGTGAAATGTAATAAATTTCTTTGGTTTAGACGTATAGTCCTTTACTCACCACTGATAACTTAGAATATTTCAAGCATTTTGGATAACGTGACAAACCATCACAACTAATTATCATAACTTACACGGATATACAATCGACGTAGACGTTTCTGACTTAAATAAAACAGTATCAAATTTTTTTGAAAAATGGGACCAAATATGTAAAAAAAAGGGCCTTTTTTAAATTACGTAGCTACTTATATAATAAATTAAAATTATATGAAACATAGACGATAGATTACGTTCTGCAATGATTTTTCAACATATAAACAGGACTAAATGGGTCTAGAAGCTAGAGTGCTCGGATTGGGAATCCGAGGGCTGGTTGGTTGTTTTAGAGCAAAGCCATATTGAGCTATCTGCTGTGTCCACCGCGGGGAATCGAACTCCAGATTTTGGCATTATAAGTTCGTAAACTCACCGTTGTCCCACCGGATGACAAATCCGAGGGTTCATTTGTTTGTCTGTTTGTAATTATGCACAAAGCTACATAAAGCTACCCGGTTTTTAGCGTTGTAAGTCCGCAGACATACCGCTGTGCCCCTGGGGAACATCCGAGGATTCATATCTCACTTACCGTTGCAACAAAAAAACAAGCTCTGAAATTTTGGGCAGTAGATGCTCTATAAGAGTGACAGTTAAATCCCACCATTCGGTGAGACAAAAGTAGCCAAGGGTTGACAGCGAATACTATTGACTAGTTGTCTTCTCTCTCTAGCATGCAAGTTCAACATTAGAACGACTATGTGCAGATTCGCGCAGAAAATTCTAATCAAACATTTTAACAAGTAATAAACATCATAAGCAAGATTTATCGTCATTTTTCTTTGTAACTTACTAATCGTTATTAATTTCAGGGAATATTTTTATGAATTATATCAACTCTTTTGATTCAATGTTAACAAATATTTTATTTAACGACAGTCATTTTTAATATTAGTTTAGTAGAAGACAGGTAAATTAAATGATACTTAAATATCGACTCGAACAGAGGATCTTTAACGAATCGATAAGAAGGCGAAAAACGATTATTTCATTAAACGTGATTCATCACAATCCCACAACGTAAGGAGTGAGTACATCATACATGATTTTATCAGCCCACAATAGTATAGAATATAGCAATGTCATAATGTACAAAAAATACCACAACCAGACTTGCTAGAGCAGTTAGCAATTTCATCTTAATACTGCCGACAGAGACCTCTATATGAGATGTCGATAAAGCTCCCATTGGCACGGTGGAAAGTCTGAAGGCTTATAAAGTCTAAAAACCGGGTTTCGATACCCGTTGTGGGCACAACGCAAATAGCCTATTGTGTAACTTTGTGCTTAACTGGAGACATAAAAATTGGATTAAAATACACTGAATAAAAATTTGAAGCTATTTTAATAAATTGCATAACATCGATTTATTACTACAATAATTCTGGTTTAATAATGCGCACAATGGTTGAGTAAAAAAAAAAAAGTGTCTACAGGATGAAACAAAAGTAGCACCTCATTTGTTAAGACATATCGGGCTCTCTAAAATTGCACACGTTCTAAGTAAATGTTTTTCAAAGGCCCGTACCCCCAGCAAGAATTCCACATATCCCCAAAAGTATGCTGCCACAGTTGGGAACCATTTTTATAAGTTATACCTTTTGACTATCAAGAAATGTACGATACGATTGGAACATTCATGTTACGTTGTAGACAGTCATTTTCAGTCTTGCATGCGCACCACGCAACAGAAGACTGCTTTGTGTGGATGGTAGAAGCAGATGTAATTAGTGTTGTGTTAAAATTATAGTCTTCGTTATAAAAGCTCTATACAAAATACATCATCTACCTTATACCACCAAACCTTGTTGAATGTTTGCAAAATATCTCTCAAAGTTTATATTTTCTTTATAAAGGGCCCTAGCATGGCCTAAAGGTTAGGTCGCTCGATCGACTCACAATCTGCGGGTAGTGGGTTCGAATCCAATTACCGTACATATTTGCCCTTTCAGCCGCGGGAGCGTTATAATGTAACGGTCAATCGCGCCATTTGTTCGTAAAGAGTAGCCCACGTGTTTGTAGTGGGTGATGTTGACTAGCTGTCTTCCTTTTAGTCTAGCACTTCTAAATTAGGAACGGCTAGTGCAGGTAACTCTCTCACACATACAAACAATTTGTGAGAACGTCTAGTATGAAAAACTAAACTTTTTTCGCTTTTTGTTTAAAACCCATAATTTGTTTCTGATTAGTTTAAACTCCTATCAAAAACTCGTGTACCTTAAGCAAAAAGTTAATTTTTAGTCTTTCAGATATTAATTATAGCATTACATATAACGAGCTTATAACACTTATAAGGAGAGTTTGTTTGTTTATTTATTATAAAGCACAAAGGGATATTTTTTGCTATGCCCACCACGAGTATCTAAACCCGAATTTTAGCGTCATAAGTCAAGAGATTTACCGCCGAGCAACTGAGGGAAGGGAGGTGGGGGGGGGGCTACGAATGGTTTGGTATGTTTGAAATTTTGCGCAAAGCTACACGAATGCTATGTGCGCTAGCCGTCCCTAATTTAGCAGTGATAGACTAGAGGGTAGGCAGCTAGTCATCACTACTCACCGTCAATTCTTAGGCTACTCTTTTACCAACGAATAGTGGGATTGACCGTCACATTGTAATGCCCCACGGCTGAAAGAGCTAGCCATATTAGGAGATTTAGGTATGTTCTAATCATTTACTAAGCTAATAAGATATTCTTCATATTATTAAGATATATATATAATGAAATATGAAAAATGATAACAATAAGTATGTACCCAACATTTTAACTAAAAATTAGTAAACTTATTACTTAACTTACTGATAACAAATGTTCGCAGATAAAGTTACCTCTGTATCACAGGATTATGTTGTTGTTTTTTTCAAGTTGTAAGTTCTCAGACTCAGATAACTAGGTTTCATTCCACAACACTCAATTCGTTAAAACGTGCACAGGATTTCCAATTACGTGATTAAGTACGAGTTCCGCTTAGCCGCTGTCTCAAGTGGAAAGTCGAAAGTTAACATAGTTCTTGGTCGTATTAAGCACGGACCAGCGAAAGGCAGTTTTAGGTTGAAATAATTGGTCATATCTATATTAAGTACAACTCTTATTGAGTAAGATTACTTGAAAAGGTGGGGTGGGGGTAACTGTGAGAACGTGAGTGAAACGTGACACTACGCCATAAGTTGAGAGAAGCAGTGGCAATCGATCTGTCTCCATAATCCAGAGTCCGTAGCACATAAGAAAGAGCACAGCAGTCCCCATCCTTATATGTTCTGATGGTATACACCAGATAATCGTTGACAAATATTAACTTAACGTCACGACGGATAATCTTCTCTAGACTTTTCAGTTACTGACTAATAAGAAAGAGCACAACAGTCCCCATCCTTATATGTTCTGATGGTATACACCAGATAATCGTTGACAAATATTAACTTAACGTCACGACGGATAGTCTTCTCTAGACTTTTCAGTTACTGACTAATAAGCATAAGGTATAGCTGGTCACGACAGATAATCTTGTTTAGGCTTTTCAATGAATAACTAATGAGCTTAAGCATTTCTGGTCACGACAGATATGCTTGTCTAGGTTCTTCAATCATTGACTAATGATCTCAATCGAAATCTGGTCACAGGGATAATCTTGTTTAGACTTTTATATTACTGCCTTATCAGCTTAATCTATGGTTAAAAGCGATAATATTGACAAAGCTACTAGATCACTGCCTAATCAGCGTATATCTATATTTGATCACAAAGGATAATCTTGTATAAACTGTTAGATCACTGGCTAATTAGCTTAAAATACCTTTGATCAAAAAGGATAATATTGTCTAGACTGTTAGATCACTGGCTAATTAGTTTAATATACATTTGATCACATAGGATAATCTTGTCCAGACTGTTAGATCACTTGCTAATTAGATTAATATACATTTGATCACATAGGATAATCTTGTCTAGACTGCTAGATAACTTACTAATATTAACTTAATATGAAGCCGGTCACAATGAATCAACTTGTCCAGGCTGCTAGTTTCATGAGGTTGATTTGTAACGTAAATAATTACATGAATCCAAATTCTTGAAAAATTAGTGAATGTACTGTTAAGCGCTAAGCTATACTTACAAACTATTTAAAACTGACATTTTAAACAAATCAATTCTCTGTTTTGGAGTGACTTCATGGTGAAACGTTGTAGAATGGACGGAAACTGAAGACGAAAGGCAGAAGACTTTCGAAACGTCGTCCTCTACACTTGTGTCTCTACAACAGGCAGTTAGTTGCCTTCCATTCTACAAAGTTTCTTCATGAATACTCTGCCTAAACAATCTATCAAAAAAAAGACTTAATGGTGTTTTCTCTACGCCGGTTTGGAGTGACTTAATGGTGTTTTCTCTACGCCGGTTTGGAGTAACTTAATGGTGTTTTCTCTACGCCGGTTTGGAGAGACTTAATGGTGTTTTCTCTACGCCGGTTTGGAGAGACTTAATGGTGTTTTCTCTACGCCGGTTTGGAGAGACTTAATGGTGTTTTCTCTACGCCGGTTTGGAGAGACTTAATGGTGTTTTCTCTAAAATCTGTTTACAGTGCTTGATATAAAATGAAAGTTGTAAAAATATTAACTAATTTGATCTTAAAGTGTTACATATAATGTAAAGTTTGTTTGCACTTCGTTAAAATTAGGGAACGATATAGAAAATTAGAACTATCTAACATTTCTACAGCTATTTCACGTGCTCGTAGTTTAAACTCTTGTAAATACGTGATAAAATTGAAGCATACGACTTATTTATGATTAACAATGTGTAAAACGCCATTATGTTGAAATAGCAGTTGGTGCTTGAAACGTAAAATCTTGTGAAATAATCACCAATACTGAAGCATACGACATATACGCAGCGTGGTCACAAGTAAATAGACACCACCTTTTCAGTAAAAAATGAAAATTTTCAGTCATATTCACATGAATTGATATATTTATAATTTAATTAATAT